ACCGGGAGGCCCTGTGGGTAGAGGCTGGGAGAGATGGGAGGTCTTGGGGGCCTGTCAGGGTCTAGCTAGGCCGGCCTCGGCAGCAGGGGAAACAGTGGCTTCCGGGGCTGGGAATGGGCATGGATTTCCGGTTCCTGCACCCTGTGTCTCATCTCATCCTTTAACCCGCGAAGGGCCTAGGAAGGACGAGGGCACTGGGCAGTGGGGAACTCCTCACCTCCTGTGCTGACAGTCCCTGCTCCCTGAGCTCAGCCCCGGGGAGACTCCAGGCCACGCCCGAGTGAGGGGGGCAGAGGCACCTCCAGCCCGGCCGGAGCCCCGGGGATGCGCGCAGGGCAGCCTGGAGGAGAATGTGGGGGGCACGGCCCTGCTAGTCTCTCAGCTCCACACCTCAGCCCTGGAGCAGCCCGCAGGCACCAGGAGATCCCTTGGGTCTCCAGTGAGCAATAAAAACTTTAGCCCTTTTCAAAGGACATAGATTTCCCCGAGTGCCTAGGTTGTTGGTTGATTTTGTTTCTCGGTGCAGAGGCGCAGGGCGGCCTGGAGGAGAATGTGGGGGGCACGGCCCTGCTCGTCTCTCAGCTCCACACCTCAGCCCTGGAGCAGCCCGCAGGCACCAGGAGATCCCTTGGGTCTCCAGTGAGCAATAAAAACTTTAGCCCTTTTCAAAGGACATAGATTTCCCCGAGTGCCTAGGTTGTTGGTTGATTTTGTTTCTCGGTGCAGAGCTCTGAGCTGTGACCTGTGTTTCCCTGAGAAATGTCATGTGGGGTCTGCACTTGCGTTTCCTTTGCATGAACTAGGGGGCTGGGAGTTACCCCGAGGCCAGCGTCGGGGCGTTATACTCACTGCTGCAGGGTCTCGAAGCCTTGTTCCTTATAGAGCAGTTCCTGCTTCATCTGAGAGAGCTCCCGCTTCAGCTTTTTAACCTTTTGTGAGAAATCAATGTAAATACGCATGTTTGTAAATAATTAGCAACACTGTTTTAAAAGATAACCCATTAGTAAACTATTAAACACATGAACACAGCCTTAGTTGAACATTCACTCTGCTAGTTTCTCCTGGACATAAGTTCTGTGCCCGGCAGATTAATTATGTATAAATCATCAGTGGTGGGCATTCCTGCTGATATTAGTCCTCAGCATCTTATTTAGCAGCTTTCCTATGAGCGCGACATCACCAGTCTCCAGTTGGTGATAAACAGCCAGGAAGGGAGAGCCGGGGCTGTAAACCGAGGCATCGCTAACTCTAGTTGCTTGGATGTCTCCTGCCCAGGCTCCAGGACCTCTGGCCACGCCTCTGCCTCTCAGACACGCCAGCAGTGGCGCCTCAGGGCTCCCGCACATGCTGTTCCCTCTGCTGGAGCGCTGTCCCCTCAGACAGCCAGTTGCTGACCCCTTGCCACTCAGGTCTCAGCCACACTTCACCTTTCCTAGCCACCCCCTCATGCGCTACTCTGTTTTGTTCAGCTCACAGCATTTTTCAAAAGCTACACTTTTCTGTGCCCTGGTTTACTGCCTCCCCGTGGGAAAGGCCGCCGCAGACACAGCTGTAGTCCAAGCTTCCAGAGCACGACCAGGCTAACAAATATTTGATGTCAAACTGATAAAAAGTATTCTTTTTCCTCCTGCCAAATACATGCCTTGGTCATAACAACACTGAGATCTGGTGGGTCAGAAACGCAGCAGCAGCCTGGGGTGGTCAGGCCAGTGGTCTCCACCGGCCGGCAAGCTTGTCTCTAGGCTAAGGCACAGCCTGAGTCTCAGGCGCAGCCTGTTACACATCATTTCCATGTGCTTTTGGGCTTTTATTTCCTGTTCATTCTACCGATTCCACAAATATTTATTGACTCTCCACTAGGTGCCAGGTCTTGGGTCTGTTGTGTGAACAGAACAGACACAATCTTGACCTTCAATGGTCTTTAAAACAAACAAACAAAACTTTATAATTGTCTGAACTTTCATGGCTGCTTTCGGTGTCTTTTTTTAAAATTTTATTTTTTCCAACAAACTTTCCCCCCCTCCCTTTGCCCTCTTCCACCTCCCACTGCCATCCCCGCCATCACCACACTGATGTCCATGTCCATGACTTCTCTCTCCCTGTTCTGTTCTCACCCCCCTCACTGGTCTAGAACCATGGGGCAGCCAGACACCGAGCAAGATCACCCAGTGAGATGAATCTCACCAACTACCACAGGGACATAGAGGGAACGTTCAGGACACAGAGGGGCTTGGGCCCTGATGTGGTCTGAGGTCCCAGACAAAGCCTGCTGAGGAAGTGATGGTTAGGCTGAGGCTCGGTGGGCCTGCACGTGGTGGGAAGGGTTCTCAGAAGGTAGAGCTTGGGGACAAACCCTCGTCCGGGGCAGGGGGAGCTCAGCAAACCTCTGGGGTCCCAGAGGCGGCGTGTGACATGAGACGGGACTGGAAAAGGAGGCCTGGTTCACAGGGCTTGCAGCCATGTGAAGGATTTCTACTCTCATCCTAAGAACAGTAAGAATCAAGGAGGAATCTTAGAGGATGATCTGCTTAAGATTTTAGAAGGTCACTGTGAGGACTGGTGAGCGGACCAGAGGGGCCAGGCACCAGCACTGGGGGTTGGCGCACGGGCAGTGCCATAGAGGCAGAGCCCAGAGGAAGAACATCGTGGATGTAGACCAACAGGACGTGGTGATGGACCAGGTGTGGCGGGTGGGGGAGAAGATGTGGCAGAGGTCACGTCCAAGGTCTTGACTTGCCAGCTGGGTGCACGAAGGTGCTTTCCTGAAGACTGGGACCAGATCCGGGGGAAAGATCAGGGATTTTCTTTAAGATACTTCCCGGAGACCCACGAGACTTCAAAGGCAACTGGAACAGGTGGACTTGATGCTCACAAGCAGTGTCTGGACTAGAGATATGACACTGAGGACTTCACTGCTACTACGCAGAGCAGAGAGCAGTTTAGATCCGGCAGGATTTTTTAAAAACGACAATTATAACAGTTTTAGTTATAATGACATCACTGTGCTTGTAAGATCCAAGACAAACTGGGATTGTAGCAAAATGACCTAAACAAATCTATGGCCCTTATTTTAGTTTAGGAACGTCATTACTCCTAGACCCCACCCCAGCGGAAGACATGAAGAGCCCACAGCCCTGGAGCCTGTTGTCTCCCCTGACGTACTAGACTTTCTGCAGCCCCAGCCAACCATCTAATTGCCCAGACCTTTCCTCAGGAATCAAACCTCACAGCCCAGAACACTGAAGTGGAGGTAAGAGAGCCTGACTTTTCACACCCCCTGCTTCCATGCTGACTACACTGAAGCAACTGGCATTTCAAATTGATTTTCAAGCTGCTTCTGAAAGCCAGGAAGTTGTGTGATTAAGTGTGATACCGTCTCTGACAATCCTAGTGTAACAAGTTTTACTTCAGAAGAAGGAGAAAGAAGATGACAAAGAAGGAAAGAGTACATTCCAGAAACGTGGGATCCTGGAAGGCTCCCGAGACAGGCAGGTTTCCTAAGTCTGCCCGACAGCGAACCCTGCAACAGTAAAGCCGGGGTGAGCAGACGGCCTTTTGCTGATGACCTCCTCCCTCTGCACCCTTTCTCTACGGTCTTGCCAGGGCCCCTCAGCAGGCCAGCACAGGGCCCCTGCCACCTGCTCCTCAAAGAGCCTTCTCTTCCCTTGCGTCCACATCACCTTCAACAGAAACACCCTCACCTTGAACAGAAACGAGACATCAGCTCGACAGTCACAGGATTGATAATGAAGACATTTCTGCCCTGACTAAGGAATAGAGGCAAATAGAATCCCAGGTACTCTCAGAGCCACCTGTGATGACTAATGAATGAATTCAGTCATCAACAACAGAAAGGAAAAAAAAAACACCCACAAAGCCAATGAGAAACATTATGTGAAACATTTATGAGATATGCTACTTGAGGTACAAATAATAAAAACATGGAAAGTCAATGCTAGATTTCCGCAATTCAAATAAAACAGTCCGTTCCCATAGGACTCAGCATGGCCTAGAGGGCGGCATCCTTTGTAAGTGCTCCACGTGCACCTGAGAATAACACGTATTTTGTTATTTTGAGGTGGCATGTTCTACACATGTTCATTTCATTAGGTTGGTTGATGATATTGTTCACAATTTCAACAACTGTGCTGATTTTGTCTGTATATCCTATCGATTACGGAGAGAGGAGTGTTGATATATCCAACTATAATTGTAAATTTGTAGTTCTCCTTTCAGTTCTATTGGTCTTTTTCAGATATTTAAAGCTCTGCTATTCTATGTATAACACTTTAGGGTTATGGGTGTATATCATTATGTCCTTCGATGAACTGACTTATTAGTAGAAAATTTCTAGTAATATCCTTGTTCTAAAGTTTACTTTGATATTAATACGTCAAGTGCAACTTTCCTTGCATTTGTATTTTCATAGTATATCTTTTTCATTCATTTAATTTTCAACCTATCTGGGTATTTATATTTAAAGTAGATCTGTTATAGCCATCATAGAGTTGGTTCTTATCTTAACCATTCTGATAATCTCTACCTTTTAATTGAAGCATTTAGACCATTTATATTTAGTGTAATTATTGACATAGTTGGTTTTAAATCTTACTATCTTTATTTTCTAATTGTCACATATGTTCTTTTATACTTTCTACTTCTATTCCTGCCTCCTTTTGTATTGACTAACATTTTTAAAAATTCCATTTTATCTTCACTATTGGTAATATCTCTATATTTTCTTAGTAGTTATTCTAGGGCAGGGATCATTAAGTGATAGCTTGTGGGTCAAATCCACTCTATGGCCTAATTTTTTTTTTTTTTCAGTTGATCAGCAGCCTAGCCAGGATCTCTAGCCAGGATCTCCAGCCAAATTCTGTCTAGGTTCTTTTGCCATGTTCTCTTGCTAGGTTCTCCAGCCAGGTTCTTATGGCCTAATTTTTTATGGCTCATGAATTAAGAATGGTTTTCATGTGTTTACTACTTTTCTCAGAAAGGTGAAAAGAAAAACCTATGACAGAAACTATATGTAACCTGCTAAACCAGTTTTCTGTTGCTACAGAACAAAATATCAGAAAATTAGCAGCTTAAAATAACACTCATTTAATAGATCACAAGAAAGGTCTGGCTGGTTCTCTGTTCAAGGTACCCAAAAACTGAAACTGAGGTGTCGGCCAGGCCGAGCGCTCACGTGGGGGTCACGGGGAAAATCCGCTCTCAGCTACATTCTGGCTGTTGGCGGAATTCAGTTCCTGTGGGTCCAGGTGGGACTGAGATTCGGTTTCCTTCCTGGCAAGTAGCGCAGGTCCCTCTCAGGGCCTTTTCCTGTGGGTATATCCACCTTCAATACAGAAACCATGCCCTGGATGCTCCTTGCACTTTGAACATCTGGCTTCCTCCTCTCCAATCAGCTACAGAAACGCTGGCTTTTTGTTTTGTTTTGTTTTTGTTAATCCTCACCGGAGGATATTCCTTCCATGGGTTTCAGAGAGCACAAGCCCTGACTGAGTTAAATTGTACGTCCCGGGCCTGTTTTCCTACAAGAAGCAAAACTTGGCTCTGAAGGATGACAAGATCATCCCAAACCTTAAATCATCTTTATGTGTTGTCATACATAAGGCTCTTACTACAAACTAAGCAGCTGTCAGAGGTCAAATATTGACCCCAAATCAAAACCATTCTTCAGACCATATTGAAGAATCCAACCTATAAGAAACCTAGGTATTATCCTAATCAAGACATGAAACTGAAAAAGTAAGTGTGATTATTTTCTTAAAAAAATTATATATCAATGTTCAGAATTTGGGCAAGTATCCAAACAATTAAATAGAAATTTTAGAACTAAAAAATATGCAGTGGAATGAAGCTGAAATCAATAATGAAAGATTATTCCCAACTATTTAAAAATTAAGCAGACTCTAATCATAAAGAAGTTACAAAAGTTAGTAAATATTTTGAACTGATTGATAAAAACACAAAATTCAAAAACGAGGAGTTGCAGGCAAGGGCCATGCGCAGAAAGTCATCTAGAGCTTTAAAAACAAATGTTAGAAAGTAAGAAAGTCCCAAATCATTTGTAAGTATTTGCTAAAGTGAAAGCTATAAATATTTTTTGACACAGCAATTTCATTCCTAGTTGCATAATTAAGAAAAATGTGCACATATGTGCCCCAAAGGGCATGTATAGGAGACATGTACGTTAAGGCACAGTTTTTAATGACCAGAAATTGGAATAAGCAGTAATGTACATCAATAGAAGAGAAAGAATTTATGATATGTACCCCAAGGTGGAATGCTTTACAGCAATGAAAGTTTATGTGAATGAATCTCAAAGTGTTGCTGAGCAAAAGAAGCCATCAAATAATATATATGGTGGCATTCCAGTTTCACAACGTTCAAAGCAGCCAGAAAACTGACCTACAGTGTTGATGGGTCAGATCCTTCAGAGAGAAGGAGGATGGCCATGAGGGGCTTCCATGGGGCCTTGGGGGTCATGGCAGTAATCTATCTCAGGACATAGGTAATGGTTACATGGATTTATGGATGTGGTGAACAGTGTTTATGACTCTAAAAGTCAAAGATGAACAAACTCTGGCCTTAACAGCAGTTTGGTCAAAAAGATTCGGGGTAAAGATGGGGACACACCCATGAGAAGTGTTGACTAGTCAGTTCTAGAAAGAAGCGACTGGTGACGGAAGATGGGCATCTTTAAATATTGGGACATCTGATGAAAGGGCAGCAAGGCTCAGCTCCGGAAGTCACGTCAGCACGATAAGGGAAGGGAAGTTACCGAGACTCCAGTTTTGATTCGATGTACTAACTGCCAATCATAAAACTGCCCGACAATGGAACGCACTGGGTCTCAGGAGGAAGGACATCCCAACCACAGGAAGAGTTCCAACAAAGGCGGAAGGAAACACCAGCCGTCGGGGGTACGTGGAGGAGGCTCCTGCACTGGATGGACAAGGCAGGCGACCACGAACGCCTTTCCCACCTTCAGCGTCTACGCGGATGCTCCACGTATAGGGTGTCCCAAAATTCACGCAAGATTTGAATTTTGGGTGAGCATTAACAACAACAACAAAAAATAAAAGCCTAATTTTACTTGGTTTATTGAATCAGATTCTAATATCTGTTGCCCTTTGATTTCAATCCCTTCAATTTGATAAGCATTACCAAGTACCAATTATGGCCCAGGAGCAGGGACAATGAAGACCAATGAAGACCACGGCTTTGCATATGTGCCAGCAAAGCCGGCCATTTACCCGATGTGCTATTCTATACATAACCCTATACTGTATATTTTATGAATCAATAAAAAATTTACAATTTTTAATTATAAACCTGTGTTTTCTATCAAAATTACTTCTTGTGTAAATTTTGGGAATTCTAGAACCACAATAAAACATCTTACCCTCAATCGCGTGGTGGAGATCTCCGCTTTCAAAATGTCAGGATCGTACTTAGTACTCGAGGAGGATCCTGAGAACACTTTCCAAAGAGAGAAGAGAAAAGCAAGGCTACATAACCAGTTCTCAGCTCAGAATTTACAAACTCTAAGAACAGGAGTCACGTGCTGCTACAGGTACTTACTTACTTTATCATTTCGTTATTGTCATGCATCAGACACCTAAATATAAAAAGTAATCTTCAAACCTTCATAATTTAAAAATAAAGCCTCAAGAAAGACACATGTCACAAAGACCCCGGTACTTCGTTTTCTTCTGGGTTTACCCGAGTGAATAAAATCTTAGCGGTCCCGGTGGCACATAACAGTTTACCAGGCTCATATTACCCAGAAAGCCACCATTTCAGGGGACTTCTGAGTCCACGGTGCTGCTGCTTTCAGCACGGCCAGCCCAGGTGCCCCGTTCTGGAGATGAGGGAGAGCTAAGTCAACGCGGTGGCCAAGGGACACGTCATTCCAGCTAAGGGCTCCAGTTCCTCCCACTACAGATAGTATAAGAGTAGCAACAGGGCTGCTGACTAGCCTTCATCTGAAAGGGTAAAACTAACTCAGAAATAAATAGAAGGCCAGCAGGCAGAGGGGGGGCAGAAACAGACAGGATACGTGATCCCCAGAGGAGACTTCATCTGGAATGTGGCCGAGGGGCCTTACTGACGAGTCTGCAGTGTGCCCGCCCCACTCCCCGCCGAGAGGGAACAGGCCCCCAGAGGAAGCCCCACAGCGCCCCAGTGGCCCCCCATCAGCTACCGTTTGGCCCCCGATTCCCGTGAGCAGCCACACTGCACTTACAGCTTGTGTGGGAGCTTGACTTCTCCTTATAGGCGTCATTCAATCGCACGTATTCATCGAGGGCCAGGGCCAGCCTCTGCTCCTTCACGTGGTACAGCTCCTTCTGCGTCCGCAGGGCGTCCTGTGCCACCGAGAGGTAGTCCTTGAGCATCTTCTCCTGCTCCCCCCTCCATTGCTTCCTGGGGTCTTCAATCTGTGTGGTTTCTGAAAGCACATTGGGTGGGTCATTTTTTAGCACCTAATTATGCTTTATTATTATTATTATTATTTAAGCTTTTTAAAAAATGGCTAGCTGCACTCAGGGGGGTCCCTCAGCCCAGCCTGTGTATATGCGAAGGGACTGCTACAGGAATTGGACACAGTTTTTGTTTAATTTTGCCCAGTCCCTCCCCACCGGCCTCGCCTTTCAGGTCCCTGTCTACAGTTTATTGTCCCTGTGAATCCATCAGACACAACTGCCACAGTAAAAGCACCCACAGCGGAGATGGGGTCCTCCCTCTCAGAGTTCCCCGGCTCCCAGTCCCTAGGAAGAAAAAGCCATCTGTGCCAGCATTCACGGCCCTGCATGGCCCGAACCCGCCCACCTTCCCAGGCACACGCTTCCACGCACACACGCGCTTCCACACACACACACACACACGCTTCCACGCACACACGTGCTTCCACACACACACGTGCTTCCACGCGCACACACACTTCCACGCACAATGCCACGCTGCCTCCAATCAGCGCTGCTCAGGGTCCGCTCTGCAGACCAGCGCCCGGCTCTTAACAGCCATGTGTCCACAGCGATGAGTATAGGCACCAAGAGGGAAATTTTAAACATTTTATACAGTTACTGTATGTCTGTTGACTCTAATAATACTGGGGCTTACAGTTTGTATTTCCTTCCCCGACCCAGTTTTCAAATAATTTTTATTGTATTTTACAAAAACAGTCATTCCACAGTGGCTTAGAAATGTAAATGCGAACAAAGGCGAAAACCCTGGGCCAGTCCGAGGCGAACACGGGAGGCACGGCTCTGGCTTCCACCCCTCCACGCTCTAGAGTCACCCAGAGAGCGCTCAACCCCGGCAGTGGGAGTGCCTGCGGGTGGAGCCCCGGCCAGGGCGGCTTCCGAGCCCCCAGAGATTCCATGAGCAGCCGAGGCTGAGCGCCGTGCTCTGCCCAGCTGGCACACTGCTCCGCCAGGAAACCACTCCGACTTCCCCACCGAAACCTGCTCGCACTCTCCTCCCCGCCTCCCTGACTCCCCCGTGAACCGCAG